ACACTTCTCCTCATAGAGCCCAGCCTCTCAGATAATCTGCTCTGCATACAGGTTGAAAAGGTATGGAGATAGGACACATCCCTGGCATACACCTTTCCCAATTTTGAACCATGCAGTGTTTCCCTGCTTTGTTCTGTTCACAGAAGCCAAGAAAGCTTCAGATACAACCTATCAGATCAAGGGTTGGGCAATGGAAGATAAATGCTGATGGTATTCTTCAGAAGTGAAGAAGTATCCTGATGGAGGGTGGAGCTAGGAAATAAGTGGGTCAAACTGGGCCAAGGTCAGGGACAACACTGTAACTAATGGTTAACTCCACAATGAGGGATTTATCTTTCACTGCTCTATAAATTGCTTGTCTGTCAGATACTCCTCTAAATCTGAACATTCAGAATAAGACAGACTAGGAAGAAGGATTGGCCATCGACTTCTGAAATAGCAGGCCTCTGAAAACCCTATGTACCTTTAACAACATAGAAAACATTAATTCCATTACTAAAAACTTAGCCTAAGATGTTCACTATAGCATGCAAACTGCAAAGACCACATAAAGGTTCTTTTATGTGTTAGAAACAATTTAGTTTGCTTCTCATTTTTCTGTAATTATAAAAAATTAGAAGCAATCTATATATCAAGCAAAAAAAGTTGAATTACTGTAAATCTATATATATAAATCAGCAAAGAAAATTATATTTTCAAATAAGTCTTAATGATAAGATGCTTTAAAAATACAAGATACAATATTAAGAAGAAAAAAAAACACAAACCAATATAAAATGGTTACCAAGGATGGGAAGTGAAAGAGAGGAGAGTGAAAATTAATTAACAGATAAATGAGGGAAAAGGAAAGAATACAATAAGAAGTTGACTATGAATTATAATGAATTATGTTAGTCAACTGTAATTAGTATTATTAAACAAAATGTATACGGGACTTTGAATAGAAAAGCAGTACTTGTAAATATCACCCCAAAAAAAATTAATAAAAAGGTTTTCACATAGATAGAATAAAAAAAATGTAAGTGTGAAGAAATATATTTCCATGTGTGTCTATATAGAAAAATATCCAAAAAATTAAAAACTATAAATTTTATGTAAAAACTAGTAAAATTAAAGACAACCCAGATATTTTTATGAGTGCATACAGATACATCTACAAAGAACAGATGGAAATATCAACATCAACAGTGTTACCTCTAGTTGTATTATTACCATTTGTTTCCACTTCAAACAACTTATTTTCTTAACAAAATCAAAAACTTCTGGTATACTTGTACTGTTTATGTAATTATATATAGTCAGTAAATGCTAACTTTTATAGTCACTGATGTATAGATTTTAAAGATATTATGGATAATGATGATTAGAATTGAAATTAAAGGGAGCTCTAGTAGGCTAGTGGCAAGAAGCTGCATTGCAATCCCAAAGGTACATGGTTTGAATCCACCAGATGCTCTGCTGGAGAAGGAGGGGCAATCTCCTCCTGTACCGGTCAGATCTGATTTGACAGTACACACACAAAAAATAATAAAATTGAATTAAATAATTTTTTTAAAAAAAATTTCTACTAGTTTATTTACAAAATTTGAATACATTGTTTTCAAGAACAAATTCCTTCAA